AAAAATGGCTGCTAGAGTTCAACTCGGTCAAATGCTAAGGTACGATGATTGGAACAGGAGTGGGACGATCAGTTCAGCAGTATAGTATGAAGGGGAAGACAAATTCTTCTTCAATCACATTAGCAGAATATCAACATCTGCATATAGCATACTGGCCAATGTCCGTGTGTCCTTCAGAAACCTGGACAAAGGGTTGTTGTTATAGATTCAGCTACTGGGAACAAAAAGTTCCAGGTAGCACGGGCTATGGTGAGCCCGAAGTGGACTTACCTGGCACAGGAGCGGGGCTGGAACTGTGGAGGTTGGACAAAGGGTTGTTGTTGTTATAGATTCAGCTACTCGGAACAAGTTTCAAGTAGCACGGGCTATGGTGAGCCTGTAACCTACCTGGCACAGGAGCGGGGCAAGTAGCACAGGCTATGGTGAGCCCGTAGTGTGGACAAAGGGGCTCTCCGAGCCCTATATAGAGCGAAGGTGAGATCCATACTTGAATATGCATCCCCAGCAGGGAACCCTTACTTAAAAATAAAGAACAAATAGAAAAAGACCAAAGACAAGTAACGAGACTCGTTCCTGAGCTGAAGAGATGGAGCTGTGAGGAAAGACTGAGAGACCTATTCTGCCAGAAACGCTGCGCGTACTAGTGGCTTTACAAGAATGTAATTACTATGCTATGTATCCTCACAATCCCAATGTACCTTCTTGTATATAAACAAATAAATAAATAACTGGACCGTACCCAACTGAAGGAAGGAGTACATCACTTGGAGGGAGGGGGGGGGGGATGATAACATACACAATTCTAAGGTAAATTGACACAGTAGACACAACATCATTGTTCTAAGCTAGGAACAGGAGAGCGAGGGGTCATAGATGGAAACTAGAAACTCAGGTGATTCAAGGAGAGACCAAGAAGAACTTTTTCTAGTATTAGAGCTGTTTTTTAAGCTAATTAGATTCAAAATTGTATATGTGAATATCATAAATGCGTAAGAAATGAGTCATTGCATTAATCTAAGAACGTTCGGAAGGCGGGGCTAGGAACCTAACTCGACCCTGTAGGTACATCTAGGCGAGTGTATACACATGCACACTCACGCACACTCGCACGCACGCACGGACGGACGGACGGGGCAAGTGTAAGGTTTCGTGTACTCTTCCAGTTGGCTGCTAATCCCGTCCCTGATGTGCGCAAGTTTACGTGCTGGAAATCCCAAATGTTACTGTATTCAGAGGCTGCATATTGGAACACGTTGTAAAAGTTTGTTTACATTACTAGGAATCAGGACTACTAGGAATATGATGGTTGTTCGACGTCGATGGGTTCGTTGAGCGATTCGTTTGCGTTGTACAATTGTTAAATATACCTTCAAATATACTGCGGAGTAGTTTTAGAAACATTGAACCCAGATTGGCTCCCTGGCCTCCTTGTGACTGTCCTGTAGGAGCTGGCCCGCCCCTGGTGACTATGTACAACCCGTCCTCTTAGGAGGGTATAAATAGCCTAAGCTACTCTATCCCTTTCAGATGTATTTCTTGTCTCAATAAACATTCTTGAGCCCGTCCTCACACTAGGCTGTTTAAAGCAGCGGCCGTCCTCCCCCAGACGCATTTATCAATTTTAACACAGTATATTAAAAATGTTAATTCTCGTATATAAATTAATATTATTATACATTTCAAGTTCAAGTATGTTTATTGAGATTAGAAAGAAATACATCTCAAAGGGATAGAGTAGCTTAGGCTATTTCTACCCCCCTTCATTATACATAATCTAGGTATAGTTAGGTTAGGTTTGGTGTTTAGGTTCTGTTGGCGATTATTTGCATTTGAAGTACGTGGGTGAAGCATTTATAAAATTGTCGTTCCAACAGAGGACGTGAGCGAAGCACTTGTTCCGGAAGTGTTCGGACGGCATCAGTTATGAGTCGTGTGTAAACAGCTTTTCATTCATAAACAGGGGGTTTGGCGGCTGGATTAACGAGCTTGGATCTTTGTATGTGTTACGACCCTGGGTTCTTGGTGGGAAACCAGAGGTCCAATTGAGCTATAAATAATTACTTTACATTAATTGATAGGATTGGATCATGTGAGGAGGATAGTTAATTAACAATACTGTATCACTTATACTCGGAGGCTTCTCACCGCTGATCGAAGCAAGAACGATCTGGGTTCGAATCCTAGGGCGATTTCTTTCCTTGTGTTTAATAATTTACTTTAGTTTAATAATTTAGGATATTGGGGACATCCGAGGATGACCCTTATAGCTTAGTTTTACAAATTTTCGGTCCTCCGAGCATTTTTTAGGTTAGAACAAGTAGAGCTGCAGCCTAATACATTAATGATCTAATATATGAAAGTAATTAATTTTTGGTATTCTCTCATGTGCATCATGATAGCTGGGGTGATTAGCGTGCCACAACCTGAAGTCTTGTCGAGCCTCACTTTGTCGACCCAGCCTGGCTACAGTGCCACCGTATAGTGGCACCTCAACACAAAGGTATTTTAAGCTAGTTACATAATCAAGCGGAGAACCATCATACAATGGCGTCTTGCGTACAGCTCCTCCCTGCCTGGGTGCACACCGCCTCGGGATCTCTCTCTCTCTCTCTCAGCTAAGATGACTAAGTCTAGATCCTGACATGTCTAAGACATGATTGTATTTTGTATATGATTATATGGTGTTGGTAGTTGTCTCCAGTGATATGTTGATATCACCAGCATAGCTAATGATACGTTCTACGCACGGAGTTCAACAGCGCATGGATTATAAATTAAACAGAGTGGGAGTGAGTACACCTTCCTGAGGAGTGCCCCTGTGACCTTAGCAGTAAATAGAGACGTAGAGTGAAATAAACGACTGGTGGATCGTTTCTGGAAAAATTTTAGTGCTAATATCCTAATCGGCCTAAATCAAAATACACATGAAAAATATAGATGAACATAGACCGCTGTCGGGTGATAATTTCTTTAGATGAATTACGAATAACCAAAATCAGTCGCTGGAGGGATTAAAAACATTAAAAAAAAAGTCCTGATGAAGCAGTGGTAACACTCCCCCCTCCCCCCCCACCCCCCCCCCCCCCCCCACCCCGCCAGTGATTTAGTCTGGGTTCAAGTCCTGGACACTTGAGGGTTGACATGGCACTATTGTTCCCTCTGCAATTCGGTACCCGTTTGCTAAGCTGTTGTCGGGTCGGGTCCCAGGGAAAACAAGTGTGCGAGGTTTAGTATGAGCTATGGGAAGCGAAGGCGTTCATGCAGGCTGGTAAACAGGAGTCGAAAGTCGTCTGTTCCTATACCTTCCTGTATACAAAAAACAGTAATGAGCCGCGTAGCAGCGTACCAAGGACGGGTGAGGCTACCAACTGTACCTCACTTGTCCCCATCTCTCATACCAACCTATTCTCCGAATTGACAGTACGTTTTAATACCAAGTGTAATAAGTACATTTCCTGCCTGTTATACATAGTACATATACCAAGTGTAATAAGTACATTTCCTGCCTGTTATACATAGTACATATACCAAGTGTAATAAGTACATTTCCTGCCTGTTATACATAGTACATAATTGCACTTATGAGGCTGTTACATTTACCTTCCCATTTTTTGAGGACGGGCTGCTCATACACCAGACAAACAGGTGAAAGTAAACCGCAGCGTAGATAATCCTCTCGCAAAACTTCTCTCAAACCCCCCTCTCACCATCATCTTCCTCCTCAACACTCCCGAGCACCCACCCAACACTAACCCGCCTCTCACCACTGGAGGTGCAGGTGAGGTGTATAACGCCACGCTAATAGGGACGCTTGGTCGTGTCGGGGAAGTCCTTCACCTTGGTGGGGCTTGAGGAGTGCTGGGTGGCCAGGGAGAGTGGGGGTGTGGGGTGGCCAGGGAGAGTGGGGGTGTGGGGTGGCCAGGGAGAGTGGGGGTGTGGGGTGGCCAGGGAGAGGAGAGTGGGGGTGCTGGGTGGCCAGGGAGAGTGGGGGTGTGGGGTGGCCAGGGAGAGGAGAGTGGGGGTGCGGGGTGGTCAGGGAGGGGAGAGTGGTAGTGCTGGGTGGCCAGGGAGGGGAAAGTGGGAGTGTTGGGTGGCCAGGGAGGGGAGAGTGGGGGTGTGGGGTGGCCAGGGAGGGGGAGAGTGGGGGTGTGGGGTGGCCAGGGAGGGGAGAGTGGGGGTGTGGGGTGGCCAGGGAGGGGATAGTGGGGGTGTGGGGTGGCCAGGGAGGGGAGAGTGGGGGTGTGGGGTGGCCAGGGAGGGGAGAGTGGGGGTGTAGGGTGGCCAGGGAGGGGAGAGTGGGAGTGCTGGGTGGCCAGGGAGGGGAGAGTGGGGGTGGCCAGGGAGGGGAGAGTGGGGGTGGTGTTGGACACGTCAGAGTGATCCAAGGAGCCACTACACTATCACACAATCACCTTCACGCTCATCAATCATTTTAAATTACTCTTAGGATTTCACTCTATTTTAGACAAGACAATGTTTTCTTTAAGAGATAAAAACACAAACACACACACACACACACACACACACACACACACACACATACATACATATATATATATATATATATATATATATATATATATATATATATATATATATATATATATATAATATAGTAAACATGAAACTGCTTACAAAATTATATAATTCAAAGCAATACAACATTCTAGTTTTGGATCTTATGGTCTGTGGTGTTTGATTCCCTTTAACGTGAATTTACCCGAGGGCCGCTAATGATCTAGTGGCCTCGACGACGACGACAGGAAGTCGCCGACTTTGACAAGTCTCCCTATTTGTCCGGATGATTTTTTCTAGTTGTATTTTCAAATTCAACATTTTTTTGGCATTTCGGCGGGTAGGCGGTTCCATGGGTTTATAACTGAGGGTGAAACACATTTTTTTTCAGTCTTGCATTGTGGCGTGTTTGGCTTGAAACCGTTGCTCCTTGTTTGTGAGCCGCCTCAAGAGCACCAATAGGCTTTTTTTTTCATATTCCCTTATTTTGTGTTGCTTTAAAATTAAAATCATACGATTTCAACCCAACGAAGCAAAGTACAGTTGACCAGACCACACACTAGAAATTGAAGGGACGACGACGTTTCGGTCCGTCCTGGACCATTCTCAAGTCGATTGTGAAGTATCAACATACTTCAGCCACGTTATTGTGACTCATCGCCTGCATATGAAAGTACAGTTGCTCTAATAGTGGCAAACATGTGCATTGGAACAGCTTTCGAAACATTTAATACAGAGTAATACATACGTCTTTCAACCCCCTTCCACCAAAATTAAAAAAAAATTTTTTTTATAATGTTTGTACCGCGACAAACGTTCCTAAAACAACGTAAATTATCCCAAAACTCGGTGACAACGTATGTGGGTTTGTTAGTTAGGGAGGGAGCCTCGCGGCTGGCAGTGTGCGGCAGGCACCCAGACCAGTCAGTGGCACTCTGGGTGGCAGAGGAGACGGACGAGGCACCACCGTCCGAGTGTGGCCACCCAGCTGATCCTCACGTAGCCTCGCTCAAGGTGAGAACTTTGCCCATAAAAACCCACACAATTGGCGAGATTTCCTTGATGGTAATTGTCTTGTATTCTACATCATTATAACGGGTGGAACTTTAATATATAAAAAAACTAATAAGCTTTGCGGAAATCATAAGCGTGTTAGGTTTTGATCCGTTATAAAACTGTTGTTTGGTTACTCTCTAGTAGTGCCTTTGGTTATTTTGAGACATTGTTTTCTCGACACCTGACTTTTATTTGAGTGTCATTTACCATGCACCCCATGGTTATCTTGAGGTTATCGTGAGATGATTTCGGGGCTTAGTGTCCCCGCGGGCCGGTCCTTGACCAGGCCTCCTTTTTGTTACACATACCCAGGAAGCAGTCCGTAGCAGCTGTCTAATTCCCAGGTACCTATTTACTGCTGGGTGACAGAGGCATTAGGGTGAAAGAAACTTTTTGCCCATTTGTCTCCGCCTCTACCGGGGATCGAACCCGGAATCTCAGGACTACGAATCCGAAGCGCTGTCCACTCAGCTATCAGGCGCCCTAGGGACAGTAGAAACAGAGGCACATAATGGGCTCAGGAGCTGACCCAGAAAATTAAGACAAGTTATAGTCTGCATAAGCTAGTTAGAAAAATGTTATTTATATCAACAGTTATAATGTATAGCTGGGAGCCGGCGGCTGAGTGGACAGAACACTGGACGCGTGATTCTGTGGTCCCGGGTTCGATCCCGGGCGCCGGCGAGAAACAATGGGCAGAGTTCCTTTCACCCTGATGCCCCTTTTACCTAGCAGTAAATAGGTACCTGGGAGTTAGTCAGCAGTCACGGGCTGCTTCCTGGGGGTGGAGGCCTGGTCGAGGACCGGGCCGCGGAGACACTAAAGCTCCGAAATCATCTCAAGATAACCCCAAGGCGGGGGATGGAAAGTTTAAGAGTAGTGTGTATACACTACTTGCTCATGAGCAAACTTGGAATATTTGACCAAGATTTTTGATAGTACATCATTTTTGAATGAAATGTTTAATGCTTTCGACGAGCAGAGTTGAGGAGTAGGCCGGGGTGCAGTAGTCCTTGAGGACGTGCTTAGTCCGCACGAACCCGCCTTCATGGTTGGTATAAGACATAATGTTAGTTTAGTTCATTTGTTCATTTATTATGCAGGCGATGAGTCACAATAACGTGGCTAAAGTAAGTTGACCAGACCACACACTAGAAGGTGAAGGGACGACGACGTTTCGCTCCGTCCTGGACCATTCTCAAGTCGATTGTGACTTGACATTCACAATCGACTTGAGAATGGTCCAGGACGGACCGAAACGTCGTCGTCCCTTCATCTTCTAGTGTGGTCTGGTCAACTTCATTTATTATGCACCCCATGTTCATCATGTGGGCGGTAGTGGAAAGGGTTACAGAGGCACATAACGGGCTCGGGGACTGAACCCCATAATTCATTCAGGGAAGCAAGTTTACAATATTGATGAGCTAGTTACTGAATACAATGCACATAGTCACATCATCAATGGGCTTGAGACCGACCAAAAGTACAGTTTCTAAATTAAGGAATTGGCATATGTGGAAAGCTGGTGTCATAATTGATGTTGAATCGTTTTTACGAAAAGTCAAGCGGCTTGACACCGTTATTTCTCGAACATTTGTCATAGGATTATCTCTAAATTCTATTTTTTTTTGTCTTTTTGTTAGTATTCAATTACATGGTGACGCAAGGTATGTGAATAGTTCTGCTGACCGAGTTTATATTCGGTCAGGTTCAAGTTCAAGTACGTTTGAGACAATAAAATACATCTCAAAGGGAGAGGTTTAGTGAGTAGTTTAGGCTATTTCTATCCTCCTCTACTTAAAGTCCCTCAAGTGGCCCACAAATACAGTGAGTACAAATCTACGAATCACTACAAGAATCACATTTTACATTGCAAGTTAATATAGTAAACCTAGCATATAGGTCTTATACTCTTGGGGCAAAGTGCTT